GCATAGAAAATAATCTATAAAACCTAGATTTGTTAAAAACGTACAGAAAGAGCTGTTCAATGCTTTCCAAGTTGAGCTTTAAAAATGTTTAATAACACAAAAGCTAAGTTTACTGCCCACCAGGTTAAAGAGGAGACAAAGAAATGAATGACTAAAAGAATGCCAATAATCCTTGTCACTGAACAAAGCTAAAACGGAACTCACTGAAAGTAAAACCGATGACTTTACTGATGCTGACACACTCTGTAAAGCAAGAATTATTTGAAGTCAAAAGTTAAAAAATTAGCACCATACACTGAATAATTTTTGTAGAAATTGTTATATGGGAAGCTAATTTCAGTGTAAACATCCACCTGATAAAATTTCATCTCAGAAACACAATAAAACAGATATTAATAAAAAAAAATTCAGTAACATGAATAAATTAAAAAATATATTAAATGTTATTTTATTAACTTACCTTAATTATGTTGTTGAGAAAAAGTGTCAAACATAAAACTATGAACAAATGTAACAAAAGTTTCCCAAGTCTATTAAAGAAGTTTCCAGTTTTCAGATTTGTCTAGAAATAAAAATAACTGAGTTTAAATTGAAAAGAATTAAATTTTAATATGACTTCATAAACACACAGGATGAAATTACATAAGGATCTAAAACACTGGATCATAAATACAGGCATATGCATATTTACATGGACTCTATAACCTACTAATCTTTATGACCCACCCAGCAGGGCTGGGGAAGAAAACCCTGGGGATTAGCATTGTTGTTGCTGTTAAGTGCCGTGGAGGCGGTTCCGACCCGTAGCGACCCTGTACAGGGTTTCCAAGGCTGTAAATCTTTACCGGAGTAGAACGCCTCATGTTTCTCCCGCGGAACGGCTGGTAGTTTCGAACTACTGACCTTGCGGTTCACAGCCCGATTCGTAACCACTACGCTACCAGAGCTCCTGTCTGTAGTAAAGAGTAAAAATAAACAACAACAAAGCTCTGCTGCGGTCAGGCTGTTCCAACTCACGGTAATCCCGTGTTTACACAGTAGAACTGCTCCCTGGTGTTCTTGGTTGTCATCTTTTTGGAAACACATCGCCAGGACTTTCTTTCATGGTGCCACTATTACCGGTAAGTCTGAACTGTCAACCTTCAGACTGCAAACTACTTGTACCACTCAGAGCTTCCATCAAGATTACACTCAAGAAAACCCTGTGGAACAGTTTCACTCTTCAACACATGGGATCAGCATGAGTCCAAATGGACTCCATGGTAACGGGTGGGTTAAGCATCATGATGTTACACTGTCTTAATGTCTGTAACAGTTAACATGTACATAACAGTGAGCACCATTAGAGAAGGAAATGTGTTCTAGTCATTGGGTCACGGGGTCTGTATTTGGAAGGTACTCTGGATATGTTTATGGTACAAGTCTTTGCATTGTCCATCTATTAATTCACGTATCACAGACATAGCTACCGAGTCTGGTGTAGTGGTGTAGGGTACTGCTAACTGAAAGGTTGGCAGTTCAAACCCACCAACCTCTCCTTGGAAACGCTATTTAGGGTTGCTGTGAGTTGACACCAACTCAGTGGCACTGACATAGTGATAAAGTACAAAGCAAAGACATAACTGTAATGCAAGTCAATAAAGCAGCTAGCACTACAAAGGTAAACTCTGCTTTTTCATGTGTATTTTTTAAGAGCTCAAGTAACTCAAAAGAATTTCATATATAATAATTAGTATAGAGTTTAAATATAAAGCAACCCTTAAATATAATGAAAGTTAAAAGGATAAACAATTATTTTTAGATAGTCAACTCATTATTTTTGTAGTTTTCCAATAGCTTCTATCTTAGGCTGTGTTCTTGAAAGAAGCAAGCCTAGTGAAGTCTATCTCTATCTCTCTCTACCTATAGAGAGAAAATTTACTTGAAGGAAATGGTTGCTGTGGATCAGATGTCAAGCTGGAGGCTTCTCTTCACTTACATAGCCACAGAGGCTGAGAACCCCAAGAATGGCAGGCTGCTAGCTTGCTGGCTGCAGACACTGACAAATCCAAGATTGGCAGGTAAGATGGCTAGCTGCTGGCTCACAGGTTAACACATCAAAGACTGACAGTATGACAGGGCACTTGGCTCAAGTCCCAAGAGCCACAGGTCAGATGATGAAAGTCAGATGTAGGATCCAGAGTGAGCAGAAAGCTAGCAAGCTTTGACAGAATGTCTGTATGTATATTAAATGCAAGCCATACCGCAAGGAAACTCCCTTTCAACTAAGTAGCTGCTCATAGCGAATCTCATCATGGAAGTGATAACATTTTATCAGATTTTACCACGATGGATTAATGCCAAACCAGACTCATGACCCAGCCAAGTTAAAACATAACCTCAAACACATCACAATCTACCTTTTGTCAAGTTGGCACCAGTACACATATCCTTAAAACATGCCTAATCTCGAAATACAACTATAAAGCTAACATGATACAACTAACACACATGTAACCCAAACCACTGCATTCCCATTTACACCTTATATAAGCGAACAAAACAAAAACAGATGTACGCATGCAAGGCAAAAATACCTCAGAACACTTACAGTACTCCTCTGTCTTACCATCATTCCACAGTCCCTTTGCCCTCAGCAAGCTCCTCAGCTGGTCATGGCTCTCTGCCTGGTGGGGTGACCCAAGCCTTCATGCCTGAAAGGCCCAGGTCACTAGTAGTTATGTTGGCATTGGGGTGCCGTAGTTTACCACTGACTTTAATTACAGGACATGGCAGTATTAAGAGACTGCCTAAGGACCCTCCTGGATTCCAGGCATCCTTTTAATGTTCCTCTGTTACATAATATCAATCCAATTTCCCCTGGGCAATCAGAATCAACCACACCAGCCAAAACAGTAACTCCCTTCTTAGCCTGCTGATCCAAAGGCATGAGGAGCCCAAAACGGCTGGGTGACTTTCTCAACTTCCAATTCAATGGAATCACTATTGTCTCCTGGAGGAAATATTTCTCCCTTTGAAATAAACACCTCCAGACCTGCAGAGGGAGTCCTGGTGTGGCGCTGT